AGATAAAAACACATCATTAAGTATTACTTTAAATGACTACAGCTTAATTTGAGTGATTTCTCTAAATTGATATGTCCTTTACTTAGGGTCTCTTTTGGTTAAAGGACATATCAATTTAGAGAAATCACTCAAATTAAGCTGTAGTCATTTAAAGTAATACTTAATGATGTGTTTTTATCTGAGAGCCAATGGTCTATTAATGATCCCTCTAAATGTAATATATTTAATGTCTCTTATTATTTAAAAGTTTTAGCCACTGCGACCCTTCAAAAAAAAAAGTATGCTTTTTTGGGTTATAAAGGTTTTTGTGCATGTAAATAGTCTGCAAAGGCTAAAATCCCTTTGTGCCCTCCACCCTTCCTGAAACGAATTAATTGGACTTCTTTGTTTACTTCAGTAACATAGTGACATGTTGACATCTATTGGCTAGTGCTCCAACACATTGTACGTGGTTGTTTTTGTGTGCCTATTGTGCCTGGTCGTGGTCCCGTTAAGAATCAGGATGACATCATCAGATGGGTGTGTCAGGTGATCATTAGAGAGGAAATAGGCAAAGCATGCCTTTGATCACATCGTATGTACGTATTGTTATTGGGGGGTGGTGGGTGCTAGTGGAGCCTCGCAGCGGCGAAAACCGTGCCGTGCCACACTAATTCCGCGGCATAAGCGCATAGGTGCGCCGCCTTTGCGGCTCAGTTGAGGTTCCCTCCGCAAGATGAGGCCCCCTCCGCAAGGTGAAGCCCCACGCAGTCAGCGTGATCTGCCTGTAGGGAGGGGCGGCCCTGCATTTTACCGACACGGAACAGAAGTCCAACACCAAGAGTCTAAATCAACACTTAGCGAAACGGGCTAACGGGGCTAATGGGGCTAACGGCTACTTTTGCCCATAACTGGCAAAATCGATCTTTTCTTTTCTATTTTCTTATCTGCACAAACGACATATCACATCAAAGCTGAGATTCCACAGATTCCATTGGTATACGTCTCATCACCGTACGACCACAACTCACTGAACTAGCAACCAGGAAATAGCAAGAAAACGACTTCACTTTACGTAGCCATGATGATAATTAAGTCCTACCTTTGCTGTTTTGTGATCAAAAGTTGTGTTCAAGGGCATAACAACGGTTAATCCAATATCTCTGTGTAACTTTAAAAATGATTACTGATAATCAATCATTACAATAATAAATAATGAACGCAATAAACGTATTATAAGGATTAGTCGACCGGAGCTTCCGGTTTAGGAGGTGCGCACGCAGCGTCTCGTTTTAACTGAATAATGGTCATCTTTACATGGATTTATGAACTGCCCCTAATTCTAATTACCGCCCCCCTTCTAGAGACACACTGTCAAACACACTCATACCTGCTTGGTATGACATTGAAAAAGTTGCATAAAATAATAAATAAAAATAAATTACAATAAAATGACTGTTGTTTAATATTCACATCTTGTAATCATGTCTATAATTTTAAGCACCAAATTATTGAAAAGTATCAATAAGAGTATCGACAAAATACCGGTATCGATAAGCAGTATCGGTATCCTAACGATACCCATCCCTAAGGAAAGAGGATTATTTTTTGAAAATATTGGATTCTGTGGTGTTTAATGCTGGAGATCTTCCGAGTTGTCTCAATATTGTGCAAGGTTAATGCAAGGAGAGTTAAATGAATAAATGTACAAATGGTTGATTAGATGTTTAAAATATGATGCCATTTATACCTGTTTGAGTTCTAGAATTAAAATAAATACATTAAAAAGCTTACAGTAAATATAACGAGGCAATTTTATTCATTTTAAAGCTGTGTTGATATATATCCATTGTGCATATTTGTGCATGTAAAAATGATCATAGAATTGATTACATTTTGTCTTGTTTATTTTAGTTTCACACCATCCTTATATCATTAAACCTGTTAAGCTATATACACTACATATACCGGGGACAGCACATTCACAGCTCTCATGTTTTAAATCTTTTAAACTAGCTATCAGTTATAAAGTGTTATTATTCCAATATTCTTTAATATTTAATAATGAGACTTACCACTCCTTTTCCCCCTGGTGTGAGGTATACATGATTCTTCTTCATTGTGTTCCTGAGACAACAGATAGGGTTCAGGTTCAAATAATTGCTTTGTGTATTGAAGGCTGTGATCACATATTTTCTGTACAGTATTGTAAACACCGTTGACCTACCGGTAAAACCTGACTTGGAGATTCAATGAAGTTTGTTTCCAAAATAGTTAGTGTCAGGAGAAGGGCACAGATGGACAAGCATGTCTTAAATATTGCCATTCCTTTTAAGAAAGTGGGACAGAAAATAAGAAAAGCATTATATAATCATACCACCCAGCTTTACATTGTTTGTTACATAGATATTGAACACTGTTATAATTATACCTTGTTCTTATGCCACAGAACAAATAAAGGTCAAGCGCATTGTTGAGGGTTTCTTAACCTAATAATTATCTTATTACAGCATCAAATTAATCTGTATAGGCCTATAAAGATGCATTTCCAATCATGGCTTTGGCCACCATTTTAATAAATGTGTACAAGTCATATTTAAGAAGAACTATGTTTACTTGTTTAGCTGGGAAACCAACACATGTGTATGGGTTTTTACATTTTTTTTTGGATCAATTATATAAACTATATTTGATGAATTTCTATGTAATGAATTTCCAAAATGTATTTGTCTGGGGGATTGAATTTCTGGTTACTATTGGAAAAATTGGTACTGTAATTTGATTGGTGCAATATCTGTGAGGACAGGTTATTTTTTGTTTTATAAGTTAAAACACTTTGCCCAGCTATAAACAAGTTACATGATGGCTGTTGTTGCTCTGTTGCGTGTGTATTTAAAGTACTTGTTTGTGACATTAGTTACTCATGATTCAAATCTCAGGTCGCTTTATTGCTGAAGTTAGAGCACTACTGACAGTCTGGTTATTTGCCATTCCCCCAAATAGACAAATAAAAGCCAACTAATGGAAAATGTTAACAGTGAGGTGACATGCTATCTACCTGCTGTACTATGTCATGTCAAAAGTGAAATAGATAGTGTAGTTTTTATTTACAGACAATTTGGCCAACCTCACGTTGTTTTCGAACAAACATACCGGTACCTTTAATGACTTGTCCTCTTCAAGTTAACTGCATTGGACAGAGACACTCCCACATACAGTAGTGTTGGCTGGGAGTCAACAAGATCCAGTGTTGCTGGATGGCACAACAACAGAAGATTTATCCATTGTAAGAAGATTAAGAGACTAGTTCAGAATTTGAAGAGTGTGAAACATATTGAAGCATTTTAACAACAAGGGGAAAAAAAGCAGAAAAAGGAATCTAATCATGTGTGTATTTCCAGTGGCACACTAATTAAGAATTTCCAATTTCTGATTGTGATTTTTGTTTCAACATGCTGATTTTGGACAATATGGTAGAAATGGGTATGGAGTAATACAGTCTTAACAAATTAAAATTGACACAAATGTACTCAGCATTTCCTAGTATATAGAACAGTAGCTAGCTATTTCATATACTGTATAAAATGCCCAGGAAGTGGTATGGGTTCAGATGCTTTGCTCAAAAGCATGTAGACAGTGCCAAGGATATGAAACTTTAAATATAAATTGACGATGGAAGTTCCACACAATCATAGCTATTTCTGGTATACCATTTCAATAACTTCCCTGTCATTTTAGATCCTGCCTTCCTCCTGGTTCTTGCAATCCGCTTGTTGCCCTCACCTGGTTTCTCCGGCCCCTCACCTGAAACTCACCTCATTTGACCCACAGTATATACACCCGCTCACTCTCACTTGTTCCCTGCCAGACTGTCTGGTGTGTACGGCCAAGGTCTCCGAGGTCTGTTTGTATTTTCTCAGTGATCTGATCTGCCCATTTCTGCATTCTACATCTGCAGAAAGAAGTCCGGTCGATTGCACTGTATACACTTTGGCCTTAAAAAAAACCTTCAAACTGGGACAAGAACACAGCGGAGAAGTAACGGGGCAGAAACCCTCCTTTTTTACGCAACGGTCATGTAATAAGCAGGATATTCCTGATCAAGATTCCTCCGCTTCGCGTCGGATTCCTGATCTGCCTGTCGGGTGTTCTTTTACCGTTAATGACCGCCTCGCTGCACATTATCCCTTACAGAACTGTCTCTAAAGTGCACACACATACACTGCACCAAGCCATAGCCATATAAGGAGACCTCCATCATAATTCGGTGAGGAAAATACAAAATATTGCTTTGAAAAAATACGAAAGAAAAAAAGAAGTGCGGGAAAACGTATGCTCGCAAAGCTTAATAGCTCGGCCTGACAGGAATGAGAAAAGGTGTCATTTTGTTCAATTTTTGTCTTTTTAGGTCAATCATGTTGCTGCATTCTTTACTAAATTCCCCTTAAGGAAATAGATCTTGAAGCTTAATGGTATGAAACGGGTACTTATAGGTAAGTAAAAACTATAATCTATTCCCATAGCATAATTGCTTTCCAATATCACAATAAAACATCTTCATAATAAAGAGTTAAATCAGACAAGTTGCTAAGAATACAGAAGTTATGCCTTTCTCTTTGGCTCTACATTTCCTTTTTAGTGCCTGAAGCTCTTTTCATTAGTCAATGTTAATGTTGGTGGTTTGGAATTTAAAATATATTTTCAACTTCTGTTGATTATTCAAATAAATGTATACATTGTTTTATTCATGAATAACAATTTTGCAGAAGGTAAAAGAGCTATCAAGTTTTAAAAATACAGATGTTAATACTATGAAAATGGCACTTTTTTGTATATGAAAATGATAAAGATTAAATATGAATATGGTTATACAAAACAAATCTTGATCCCTAAAGATGGATAAATGTGATATATGTTGACAGACTTAATGTGAAAGAATAATTGTATCTGATTAGAATTGTCTTTTTAGTCATTACGAGTACATCACGTCACAGAAAACACTCAGCAAATACAGTGCAGCCGAAGCAATCACAGATGCAGATCAGCTAAACCAAACAGAACTCAGGGGGACGTGATTTCACCGCAAGCGAAATCCTTATACACTAAAACACACGTTTACAAAGCTATGATCTGTTTAAAAGGCTTAGAAAAGCATTTGGAAATAATCAGAAAAGAGGTGAAACTGTAAAATTCAAGCTCGGATCAGTCCTGTGAAACACTAAAAAAACGTATTCAATAAAGTCCCAACAAATATGCATTTTCAAAGTCATGGATAGCTTCTTACCACGCTCTTTCTCTTCTTGCTGTGTATCTGTTAAAGATTAGAAAACACCCAAAACACCAGAAGTGACTCAGTGCTCAGCAACGTAGCACCTATTAATATTTAATTGAATCTACTGAAGGAGGTGCAGTCCACTGAACTGATTACCCAAGATCCTCAGCTTGAAGCTCGTTGTTTGGATGTTTTAGCCGCAATGCATGTTGTGATGTGATGTTAATGCGATATGATATCCGAAAACATTTAAAAAAATAATAATAATACTTTATTCCGAGTATGCTTGCTTTTCTCTTTGGAAGTCATCACATAACGGCATTGTAATACACGGTTCGGCTGGATTACATAATACACATCTGCCTTAGTTCTTTATTTATAGAGCCCTGATGAGAAGACTTCTGGACAAACTTGAAGAACTGCAGCCAAAACTGAATATGTGACGTGATTCATAAATATATCAACAATTAAACAACATCTTGCATTTCTTTTCACAAAATACGTCTCCTCGCAGTATCAATAGTAATTCGGCTGACTTTTATATTTGATCCAATTGGTACACCATAACGGTGCACAGCTGATAGAAATGGACTTGTAGTTTTTAAAGATATTACTGATTTTCTTTGAATATAAGAATGTAAATACTGAGTTGAGAGAATAGTCAGGGGATTTGGGTGATGGGAGACACATCTATGGAATCACAATTTCAATAGCTTATGACGGATATGCCTTTCTGTCTGTGATGTTTTACAAATCAGATATTAATGTGTGGAAGTAAAACATGAGAAATAGTATAGCAATATCCTGTAAAATTATGT